TTTTCAGTCTGTAAATGTGTTGATTTTGTGACTAAATGAAAACTGTGTGTGAATAGAGTTGTGGAGGTTCACCTCATACCAGAAATAATATAGCTGAAAGTTTTAAACTGAGTCAATAATTGATTATGTGTTTTATGTGAAGTATTTCACAAATACCTGTAAATTTGGCTATAATCAATCAGAGATTAAAAAAAATGCTCAATTTCTCTTGATGAAGAGATCAAATCCTGTGTTTAATTTTTATCCTATTCATTTATTGCGCTACAGCTAAGAATCCCGCCATGTTCAGGTTAACGACACTTTATTTAAATTGGCACATTTTCATAAACTTTCATAAGTTCATAAAAGCCAAATACAGAAACTAAAAAAACTAAATCAAAGATCCTGCTGGACATTGTTTTTTTATTTTTTGCATGATAATCCTTGGAATAGAAAAAATCAAAATAGCTGGAAATGTTAAAGTCTTTATATTGGCCTCCATTTGTTTATTTTGTTCTCTGTTGGATGCTCATTTTAACAGTTTTTTTTTTTTTTTCCTGCGGCAAGTTAAAACCAGATTTGAAAAAGTCCCCAACAATACTTGGTCAGTTTCAAAGAACTTTAATTATGATTGTTCAATAAATTCCTGAAATTACCTAATCACAAAACCTACAAAAAACAAAAAACAACAAACAAACAAACGTCTTTGATACTATTTCGGCTGGAAAAACCGTTCGGAAGAAAAGTTGAACGTAGTGAATTGAAATCAGTCCACAGTTTTGTGTTTAAAAACCTCACTGCAGAGCAAGCTTAAAGCGGAAATCCAAATCCTGTAATGTAAACAAATGTTTGTTAGTATCGGTGTCTCTTTCCTGCAAAAAGCAGCTGAGGCTCGATTTAAAAGTCCTTCAGATTCTACAGCAGCCATTCACTCCTCACACTCAGCGTAATTTAAGGTTGATACAGAAAGATTTGCTCAGTTCAAGTCAGCTAAAAAAAAAAACACCAATGTTCATTTAGATGTTTTCGAAATAATATCAACACTACTCAGTATTTGTGTGTAATACCTTATTATGATACACAATGCACCATAATAAGGTATTACCCTCAGCCACAACCACCAACGGTACACAAATGGTAAAAAAAGAGAAATTTTTTTCCCTTATTGTGAGCTGACAGAATTGAGCCGAGTTCTCATTTGAGATGGAATTACTAAATTGTAAAGTATAAAAATGTGAAACAATTTCTTTTACTTTGACTATATCAGTAGCATTAGCTTAAGTAAACCACAGATCCCTGTACCGTTGCAAATAGTCTGTACAATATTTATTAATGTAATTGATCATTTAAATGATCATTAAAAATCATTTAATTTAGTTATTTTCACTTTATAAAGACAAAAGATCCTTTAGTTTCTTCCTCCCTTAATTGACGCCAGCGACAGACTGTCTTCAACACAAAAAAGCTGCACCGCATGACAAGTTAATTCATTTGAACTATGTTTATTAATCTCCACATGTAAGGCACAATCTGCTATACGTGGAGATGAACTACATTAAGGTGGTATGGTTTTACACGACTTGATACGTCACTAGAAGGAAGGACAAACTATTCCTTCTTTGACATTCATGCACTTTTTTTTTCACAAGGCCAAGTTAAGTAAATCCCTTTGTTCTGATTTTACGTTGTTATGAAAATGACTGGCTGCTTTCAGAAGACGGTAAAGATTTCCCACAATTTCCATGTAACAAACAACGCTGGTCTTCGAGAATCCAACGCTTCCGGCACGAAACATAAGTACATGAAAAGGCAAATTACAGAGAGATTTTATTATCAGCAGAGTCTTAGGTGCAGATCTCTCCTTGTGTGAGCGTTAAGTAACCTTTAGTGCCTCGCTAGTGTCATTTATTACTTTATTGATTGTTAGATTCTATAAAAGCATATCAACATCAGAAGTCTGGCATAAAAACCGCTGGCGAGCCGCCATGCGTTGCGATGGGTTCTTCAAGTTATATTACTGGATTAACTTGTGTGTTTATGAAATCATTACAGAATAGAAACAAGCTAATAAGCATTCAAGATACCTAACCCTTCTGCATGTGGATGCAAATTTACTAGATGATGTTAATTAATACCTTTGTGAGATTACTATAAGTCTAACCATTTTCTATGTTCGGGTTATGCATGTGTGTCCACAACAGCCTGCTCATTTGGGCGTGTGTGTGTGTGTGTGTGTGTGTGTGCATTCATATTTATGTCCCCCTGTCCAAAATATGTCACTTTCCCTCCGGCTGTGCTGGCAACACGCTGATGACTCAGCCCATTCAACACATTAATCCTGTTTCTTCGCAAACTGTATTCGGCCCACGCCGAGTTTTTAATATGCTGCATATATTACAGACCATCTGATTTCAGGAAAGCAAGTCCATGTGAGCTGAACTTGACGTCTTAAGGTTTTTCGTTAGGAGCCATTACAGTGCTGCCGTGGCAGAAAAAAAAGAAGAAAAAAAAAGCGGTAATACTGGGTCAAAGTTGCGCACACTGTCAAATCTATATCAGAGTCACGATCGCTTAACTCATATCGACATTTACACAACAGCAATGAATACAACACATACTAGGCATTTGTATAAACTTTCATAATCTCACTTTAATACTTGAATACAAAGAAATGTGAAAATGAGCCACTGAAAAATGGGAAGTTAGTAAAACAGACAGAAAACGCAGTGAGTTTCTAGTCATGGACGCCAGTGATAAAGTTAGAGCAAAGGGAAGTGACTGAAAGACTTATCATGCTTTACTGTGTAAACATTACTTTGTTTTATAACTTACCATAAAAAAAAAATTCATAACATCTTTAACAGTCATTATTTCTGCTATTCAATTGGCCTAACAGCCCAATTTAAAAACTGCTTTCAAAGCCATACCACCACTCATAAATAATATCACACTTTAATTATAATCTTCAGTAAGAATCCAGAGGTGTTAATGTGAACTCTTTGCACTTATAAAACATATCTCACAGACTAATCCTGACGAAAGAGGGCAAATTAATTTTACTGAGCCAGACTGAGCATGATTTTCATATATGAAAATCTCAATTCACAAGTTCTTAAGGTGATATTTCAGTTATTGGTATTCTACTGTAATGTTGTAGTGCTCAGTTTTCTAGTCTTTTGAAGCTCAGGTCAGATTTCAAGTAGGATTCCTCCATCAAAATCGATAAATATGTACCAGCAGGAAGTTGCTTAGAGTTATGTTTGTTTTGATCAGACGTTATAATGCCTCATATTTCATAAGAGTAAACCAACCCAAGATGGGATCAGAGCCATGATAGCAATAGTGTATAACATGAAAGTTTTACAAATCAAAATAGAATTAAATGAGGGATGTTAGCATTTGGCTGTTACCCCTTTATTGATGAAAATAATTAGCTCAACTCAAAGATACTAACTGGTGCAAAATGATTGGCTTTTGGTCACAAAAGTAGATTGGGACGAAAATGTAACGCATGAATCAAAGAGTGAAGGAGCAGATTATTCTAGGGTTGTTTTGATGTTGATATCTTTAGTTTTTCTTCTAATGTTTTATTGAGTGTCTAGAGCGGATGTGTCGTTACTCTTCGATTTACAGGTCAGATTTAGTTACACGTCAACATTGTCCACATATTCAAAAATAAAGCAGGCTATTTATCTGTGTACCGAAATTGAATTTAAGTTTCTTTAACTAAATACAAGTTTAAATTATTAGATCTCCAACGTAAGTTGCATTATTTTAGGGCCTGTTGGAGTTATTACACGTCTTGTTGCCAACAATCCTTTATTTTGTGTAAAATTCCGCAGTCTAATTTTGCACCGTTTTGTAACGAGTGTTAAGCAACATCCTGTTGCCACCCGAGCAATTAAGCCTTCTAAGAATTTTCCAGACGGACATCAGTCTTCGCCTTTTCACACAGAAATCTGCACTGCTTTAATTTTCATTTATGACTCAAAACATGAAACAGCCTGCTAATTATTCACACAGCGGCAGCTGTTGCCATTCTGTCAAATCTGCATAAATCAGCCAGTCGTTTCTGAATGTAAGAGCGTCTCCGTCGCAGGAATTAACTCGCACAATTTGTGAGTGGATATGGCATCGATTAGCAACAACAATCATTAATTTGCTGCGACTGGTTCGTCTAGATATTCGTTCTGAAAACCCCTTTGGTCTTCATAAACAGAAAACATTGAATAGTAATTGATGCAACCTCTCACAGGAGCTGATGTACATCTTATGTTATTAAAAGCTCTTTACATCTGTCTAGTCTGAAATTAGTTCAAGATGCTTGCGAGACCCAAGTTTTTAAGAGAACCTCGGGTTTCTAGCACTAACTGAAACAACAGCTGATCATGTAATGCGTGGATATTATTAAGACATAGTATGCTGCAACTGAAAGGCAACAAGGCGCCTTCACAAAACCAGGAGATATCACATAAAGTTAGAGGAAAAAAAGAAAAATCTCATGAGGGAGACAAAAACCGAAGGAAAGAGAAGCAAACTCAGCAAATAGATGTTCAGGTGTGAAGCTTCCTAAGACTTGACAAAACACTGACATTCCCCATGTTACGACTGACTCTAATTTGGAGAAAATCCAGCCTCTTCTTAATTAACAATTACCAAAATCCCGTTCACACCCTAAGTGCTATTTTCAGCGCTTAATGGGACTTATGAAGAAAAGCCTGTGAGATTTTACAAAATAAGCGAAGTAGTCTTGTTATCATCACTGAAAGAAGACGGTGTGTGTCTGCGGGATTGTGCGACTGTGTAGGTGTTTGTGTGTAAGCGAGCACCTGTTACTTTTTTCCAAAGCAATCCTCCTAAAGAAACATTTATGCAAATACTGAAGCACACAGCCTGCAGTAGTATCACCTGTTTTTAGTTAAACTTTCCAGATAGACCCAGGTTTCTCTTGAGTGTCATGAATCTTCATTCTTCTGATATTTTATGTAGCGATGTTTGGAGAAATTAGCTGGTCAGAAACTGAAAAATCCTATCCTTTTCTGATGCGTGAACATACCATCCTTAAAGGCTCGCAGATTGCAGTAACACAATTCCTTTTCAGTAAGGACTAAGTTAGGTATTTTGGTATAGGTGGGGTGATTAAAGATGTGACCGTGTGATACAGACATGTTCAGCCATGTCTGTGGCTTATTCAAACTTTAAGATAAAAAAAAACAACAACTGAGTTGCTCTGTTTTATCCTTTAAAAAGTCAAAACAAAGGAAAAGGTCCATATTCTGTAGCCAATAGACAGGGAGAGCTGTGTTTACAGGTAGCAATGCTAACCATGCAAAACCTGTTAGCATTATTATGCTAGCAGTAGAATAAAAAAAATTAATTTATATACAGAATTTTTACTGTTTTAAAATATGAGTCAAAGCCAAATTTTAAAGAGACTATATGAGAAAATTAATGGACACTCAAGTTTAAACAGCAATAATTATAGTTCTTACAAAAAACTGTGAACTCTGCTGCAAAACTCTGATTGGTGTTATTATTAGTCCAATGTAAAACATGATTCTTTGTATGTGAGTTTACCCTTATAGAAACTTTTCCGCTACTACTAAAGTGTAATAGTGTAAAGTGCGTTGGGTGATCAATTAATCTGGAAAAGCTCTACGCAAGCTTAGTCCATTTATAAGTAGTAGATTTGCAGTCTGCAGCTTTAGGAGTAATCATTTCAACAACCAACTTTGTACTTACAAATATGTACTTTTCAATCACCTAAACATGACGGTAGGTTTTGAAACAAAGCTCAAACAATATAAGATTACAATTAATTTCTCCAACAGCAAAAAATTTCCATAAACCCGAGACATGGAGGAAAAAAAAAATCGCCCTTTGACACACCAAACTTCTGATTACGTCTTTATTGTCTGAATGAATAAACAGACAAATAAAATCACACTTTTGAAAGCAGTAACACAACTGCAGCAGCTCCGAATCAATAGCCATAAAATGTAATAGAATTGTCTCAGTTATTATCAAGTTTACTGGACCTCAAAGAGACTCATAATCAATATTTTCGGTAGCCATTAGCAGCGCTTAAATTGGTGAGGTAATGCTAAAATTTCGCCCTCCTACATACTCGTTTTATGGGTTCAGGTAATGAAGTTTTTGCTCTCAAAATCAAATCGCTGCCTCCTCCTCTCGCCACACTGACTCATTGTGTTATTATGATAGTTAGGAGCCCGTGTGGATCTTTCGAAATCAATAAGTACGACAAAATGCATTATTCAGGGAGGCCATTGTGTGCCACTGCAGGACGGTGCACTTGTTTGTACATAAGTACAGCTTGATGCAAATATAACTCTATGCTGCTCATTTGTACAGAGTAAAGGGCTCTCCCTGCAGCAGCAGTTAGAACATTTGGCAAATACTTACTGCAGCCCCTGAGAGGCCTTTTCACATCAAGTCAGCTTATTAGGTAACTGATGCTTCAACCTCTCAAACCAATATACCTGTTTTCCCCTCCTGGCTGTTGTTCTGCAAAACCAAGCCCATTATAATCCCTCTCCTTTCCCCCCCTGTCTCCCACTGTCTTCCTGTGGCTCGGTCGATATGTTGGACAGCCATACACGTGCGTGGGGAGATAATGCAAATGTCTCTATAAATAGGGACAATAATGCTGACAGTAGCACTCTCCAAAGTGAGATATCGCAGTGTAATTTTCACTAACACGCACAGGCACAAATCCAGGTATCCGGTAAACAGTAGCAAGGGGAGAAAAAAAAAAAAAAAAAAAGAACCCCAACTCCGTCGCTCTGTGCTTCATCACAGCGATACTCCTGAAGCAGCACAAAAATGCTTGAGTTTGCAAACCAAACACATTTCACATTTATGCTATATGAGGCTCAAAAACAGGAGCGCGCCACAGAAAACAGATCAATGTCTCCAGAACATCTTGAACAAACAGCACAGCAACTCCGATCTGCAGCCGACTAAATAACCTGAATATTGACTTTGCTATATGTTGGCCTCTGCGGCTCATGTAGTGTATTATGTTCAGGCACACTTTAATGCTCAGATCTATTTGGCACTCAAGCGGCTCACATCCCTGGCATGCACCTCCATCTCATTTTTTTTTTTTTTTTTGCAGTCGGTTTTTCATAAAAACCAACTAAAACCAGAATATAGCTGTATCCCATGCAATATTTCCCCAGTCTATATAAGTCGGCGCAGCGTAATAAAGAGCAGCCATCAAATTATGCCTGGTGTACAAGCTTCTAACCCAAACTTTGAGAGCACAATAGAAGCTGAGGTAAAGACCGATGGGATGAAAAAATAATTGAGACGGATAGAGCAGAGCTGCGAGCCTCATCCTTCATCTCTGTCATGGCTTTTTTTTTTCTTTCCCCTCCCTCGCTTTCTCACCTTTCAGCTCATGATGAATGACATCAGAGAAGTTGGGCTCCTCGCCCCACCAGAAGATCCACAACTCCCTGGCATCGGGCTTGATCTTGCGACGCCACACACACAGCAGGTTGGCCTGTACGCAGTGCATGAAGCTGCGCAGGACCGGGTCGTCCTGGGCCGGGGCCGAGATCACGGGCCCGTACTCCCCGCCGCTGCAGAAGCTGTAGCGGCGCCATTTGATGCCCGTCAGCTCCGCCTGGAAGAGGAGAGCAATGATTAAAGCGTTGCAGCAGTGAATGTTTAGCTATTCGACAAGCTAAGAATTAGTTCTTGTTAGGCAATGTTATCACTACAGTCTGCTCAGAATAATGTTTGCTTGTAGCTGTGTGCTTGTGTGTGTGTTGCTATTATAAACATAAAGATGCTCCAAGTCAGCTTGAGCACAGTTACCAGACACATATAGAACAATAAAGCCTTATATAAGACATCTTGCTCTAAGTAAAACTTATTTTTCCAACATGTAGCCAATGAAATGATAAGAATAAAAGACTCCAGTATAAAATGTTTTAAAATATTCAAATTTTACACAGTAATATCCCTTTGAGTTTGACACTAAACAGTTTTCTGCATCTTTAACGGATATGAGAACAGCAGCAGATCTTGATCACCAAAGACAGAATTTAATGTTTTACATCAATAATTAAAATTTGGGTAAAGCTCTGAAAATGCAGAAGCAGAGACGAAAATGTTCAACATGTTCTAAATATCAGCGGCGGCCTCGTTTACTGGTGATCAAAATATGTAGGCCATGGTGCGATGAGGTTATAATTAATAAAATGTCAGACGTCACAGACAAGTATACAGGAAAAGCTGAAGTTTTCAGCGTTACACCAACTGGTTGTCATGGAGAACATGATGTCACTGGTGCTGCTGACGAGAGACAAAGCAGAGTTATGATGCATGCTGTGCATGGATGTTGCTGAAAGAGCATACTCCAGCACTTCTCTAAACTATAGGACTATATGGGTGAAAGTGACTGCAGAGCAGCAAGCGGCTGCATGAAAAGTGGGACTTTCGTCAGCATGCGGCCATCTATGCTGCCGTGGAAGTTCAGGGAAACAGCTGCTCCCATCAATCAGTCAGTGAAATGATTTCTGCAGGTTTTCATCGATAGCAAAAAAAAAACACCTGCTAGTGTTAGGTAGAAAGTAATTAAAGCTTAATTTCTATGTCACTGATGTGTGTTGCGCTTTAAAGACTCTAAATAAGACACCGACTTCATATTGTTAGCAATTTTTACAGTGATAACACTGGACAACACAGCCACAGACCTTCCATGTCAGCAAATATAAACATTCTATAGGGCAAAACTAATTAATCAATTTTCCAAAATAAGGGGCTGCTCACTGGCAGGTTGCTGCCCTGGGCAGTGAGCCACATGGCCGAATGACTGACACTGAGTTCTTCTTTGGTTCATTTGCTGCCAGGCTAATGTACAAAGCACTAATGAATTCATAATGATCTCCAGAAGTTTTCACCTTTCCAAACATTTGTCCACAACCAAAACAATTTTTTTTTTTACTTTCCTCGTAACATTCTACTGCAACAAACTGAACTTATCACAAGGACTCAACAGCTTAGGAGCAACACAAGGTTGTTGTAAAAATACAAAATAAAAAAATAGGAGAAAAGGAACATCAGTTATTGTTTATCAGATGCTTAAGAGGGAAGTTTTGTTATTGTATGTAAATACTCCATAAAGTGTAGCAGGAAACTGAAACCGAGCCAGATGCTGTCATGTGTAGATACTCTTGTAATGAACATTCCTCCGTTGCATTTGTGCAGGCTTCCTAAGGGGCAGGGTAACAGTTTCTAAGCATGCTGTGGAGATCTTTAGAAATGTGGACTCCAGAAAGAGAGCATCAGATCTCTTTATAAACACTCAGGGCAGCTCTGATACACAGCTGCTGCAAATGCAAAGCTCAATTTGGACACTTGGTTGCATAGCAGTGAACTATTAGGGACTTATGGGAAGGATTTCTGGACATATAACACATCATACAGTTTGGAAAGACCAATCCTACGTGCTAAGCTTTCCTGGAAGTTCCTGAAAAATATCTTTGAGAAATCATTTAAAGATTGTTGTAGCCATGCAATTCTTTCTGTGAGAATAAACCAGCTACCTCAGACAGCACTGGGGTTAGGTTTCTTCAAAAGGAGTAGGACTTCTTAAGTGAAGTGATGAAATTATAAACAGTTCATTTCAGCTACAAATCCACACAGCATACACCCAAATCAAAGAAAGACAATGAGAGAGGACAATTATTGTCTAGGAATGGCCTATAGGCATTTAGTTTGGTGCTAAATTTGACCAGAAACCTGTGATGTGACCTGCAGATGGTTGCTGACAAGAGATGCCCTTACAATCTGAGGTATTCAGACAACTTTTGCCAGGCAGCGAGTGCAAATGTTGCTACGTCTAGATGTGTGATGCTGATAAGTTCATGAGTGTGCAAATGCAACCAGGCCACTTCAGCTTTTTCATTCTGTTGTTTCTCATGAATATGTCTTTTTTTTTTAGTAGAACTGTACATCTTAATTGTCACATTATATATTTAAATATAAAAATAATTTTCAGTGATTTATCTTTTTTTAATTTTTTTGTATTTAAAAAAAAAAAAAGATTTTTTTTTACAAGATTCTGTGTCTTGTAAATCCATTATCTGATTTTGAAGTCTGCTTTTTTTTCTAACATATTGTGCTTTCAGATCAAAATGCTGATCAGACAGAGCTCGTTTTATCAATAACTCCACAGTCGCTGTCAGCTTTTGCCCTCTTCCTGTTTGCATGACTACAAGGCTTGAGAAAATGTTTAAGATCAGTCAGTGTCTCGCTGATAAGCTGTTAGAACCTCGCACATGGCATCGCTTCACTTGAGGAAGACTAAATAGTGTAATCGCCGCAGAGAGACGAGGAGAGAGACAGCAAGGCATAAAAACGGATATGAGAGGAACAGCTGAGTGAAGTCAAGCTGAAGAACCAGCATGTTGACTCATGAGGGAGGGAGAAACAAGCAGAACATTACTATCTGGATACTGTTTGTGTTGCTTTTACCAGTAACGGATCCAAGTTACAAGTTTGCATACACTCATTAAGGCTTATGTGACATAAATTTTGACTTTTAGAAACCTTTGACCTCTTTTAAAGGGGGGAATGATTCCATGTAATACGTGTTCCACACGGCTGAGGTTTCTGTGGATTTTCTCTAATCCACACATTGTCAAAATTATACATACATGCTCAAATAAATACAAACATACCCCACTAATCTCTGCAACTTGTCACTTAGCAAGTTGCAGAGAAACGCTCGTAGCCATCAACCAATTTCTCGCAAAATTCTGGTTAAATATTTGACAGCTTTCCTTTTCAGAACTTGGTAGATCTCTCCTCAGTTGGTTGCTTTCCTGGTATTCATTATTGGTTTTCAATGCAAGGTCCATAAATTTTCCAAAAGTAACACATCTGCGTTGAATAAGACCCTTATCATGATGCTACCAAGAAGACGCTACAATAAAACTTTTCTCCAGAAAGTGACTGCACTTGGAAACTAAGTGACATTTAAGGGAATATTATTAGGAGTGAATGTAAATATTTAAAACTGTGCAAAAGACAAAAAAAAAACATAAAATTCCAACATGTGCACCCAGCACTTAATTTTAAAAGTCACTGAAGTTATATTTTGAATCTATAAAACAAAGAATTCAAATTCATCAGAAAAATTTAATATGGATTTAATGCCGTTGATAAGCATAGAAGTAGATGTCTTCCTACAAATGTACTTTTTTTCTGTTTCATCATCCATTTTCTTTGTTTGTTTTTTTTTGGGGGGGGGTTGTTTTTTTTCCATGAAAACACTCTTGATCCTTCTGTGCTTTGGAAACTTTTTACTATGTTTGTTTGTATCTTTTGTGCATGCAACTGTGCATGAATGAGCACGGTTCACAAAAGGCATTGCGGAGCAGGAAAGAGATTTGGCATGCAGGGGCGGGGGAGAAGTGGAGGGGCCGGGGTCTCTCAACACTTTGCGCTGCCCTCCTCTTCTCCCCTGTGTCCACCCAGCTGTGAGGATCGTGTTTGGCACACTAGCCTGGGCACCGAGCCATCCGACGACAACCGAGAGCAGAAAAATACTGACCCATTTTCACACTAGGACAGGTAGAAAGAGGGAGCTGAAAGGAAAACAAAGCCTGCAGAGTGTTTGAGTGGACGAAGAAAAGCCCGCTTTTTTCAGGTTTGACGATTGTGGAGGAAGGCACCAAGCATGATTATGTAAATTTAAGTGCAAAAAAAAAAAAAAAGAAAAAGAAAATAAAATCTGCATAAAACATTGGACTTCTACAGATCTAACCTTCAATGGAGCGTCCTAAAGGTGAGCACACACTAAGCCGTGAGCATGACCCCTATGAGCATCCAAACAGTAGAGTGCACCCATAATTACAAGGATGTCCCTCCTGTAATGACAGCATGTGTAATGAAAGACATAAACATTGGCGCTGTGATAAGCCAAGCACTAAAATTAGCCATGACAAGGTCAAGGATGCTGTTTGTCCCAAAGCAAAGAGAAAGACATCTGCTTGCACTGCCTCGTCACTCCCAGTCAATGTCAAAAGTTCCTCCAGTGTTTGGCGCAGCTGTCTGCCAACCGCTGAATGTTAAGGCAAAGACGGGGGTTCGGGGCGGAGGGAGGGGGGGGGGGGGGAAGAAAGACAACGGGAAATGTATTCACAGCTAAGGCACACCAGTTGTGTTAAAAAGCAAAACAAGCTCTCCTTCGAACTCATTGATAAATGGGCCTCTCCAGACATGTAAGACAGAAAATTACTCATCTCGGAAACATTTTTTTTCCCTCTCTCTCTCTCTCTCTCCCGCGAAACGCGAAGAGATGAGAGAGGAGCTGTGCTCGTTCCAGCTAGATTCCAACATCAGTCGGATGATGATAAGATATTTTAGAAGGGTAATAAATATTATATTTCAATCTTCTTCCTCTCGTTAAGGGAATCCATGAATAGGCAAATATGCTTAATTAATAGTATTTCACTAAAACTGCCTAAGCTGGGTACCAGATCATGATAAGCGTGCAAACTGGTTGAAACATCTCAAGATACATCTCTCAGAATCTATATGATGCATGTTTTATGATCGTAGTGAAACATTCCCCTTTCATGACACGAATGTGAAACGAGCCTCATCCATTAT